ATGATGATTGGTGATTCTCAACTTGTTCCAAGATCTTTCTTATTCGATATTGATGAAGATAAAACACTAAGTGCATCCGACTTCTCTCTTTCTGTTTATCATGATTTAAACACGAATCAACTATCATGCTCAATCAATGCATCACTTGACTTATTCAATAGAGAGACAGTGGAGAAGATTTCACAACGACTTCATTTCGTTTTGAATCAATTATCGACATCTATGATTGATAATCAAATAAACAAACCTATCAATGAATTAACATTAACGTTATCTGATGAACAGTATTTAATGCAATCATTGAATAATACACAAATATCATTTTCATCTCCTGCCACTTGTATTCATCATGAATTTGTGTATCAAGTAATGAAACATCCACAAAAACTAGCTGTTGAACTAGATGAACAATCATTAACATATTGTGAACTCTTATATTATGTCCAAGTCTTATCTTTAACTCTTCTTAACGAATATCATATCACTCCAAGTGAAATAGTTTGTCAATGTGTTGAGCGAAGTTTGTCAATGGTAAGTTGATTAGGAGAAATAATTATTGATGAGAGTTTGAGATTGTGTTTGATTAGGTAATTGGCATAATGGCGATTGAAATGTCTGGTGGTGTCTATTGTCCACTATCACCTCGAGATCCACAACATCGTTTGCATGTACTCATACAACAAACACAAAGTCGTCTTGTTCTTGTTCATCATTTAACGAAGATCAAATTCAAAGATGATATTGTTTCGTCTAATATTGATTCAATATTAAATATGAATGATATGGATAATGACGTTGATAATAATTGCGTTTCAAGTGTGATAGCGAAAGGGAAGGAAATAGCTTACATTATTTTCACAAGTGGTTCAACTGGAACACCCAAAGTGGTTCGTTGACATTGGCTTTTCGAATTTTTGATTGATTTTTATTCTCTTTTATAGGTTCAAGTTCGACATAAAAACTTTATTGATTGTATACAATCTTTGGTCTATATTAACTCATTTAATAAAGATGATACAGTTGTACAAATGACACGATGTTCATTTGACATTCATGTTCAAGAAATACTTGGTACATTGTTGGTTGGAGGCGCTTTGATTATGCTTCATCCTGATAGAACTATGGATTTCGTTTATCTATCCGAAGTGTTAGGGAACAAACAAATCACATATATACATACTGTACCAAGCTTTCTACATGCTTTTTTCGTTTTTATCGAAGAAAACAAGAGCATAAATGGCGTGAAACATCTTAGATCACTCTGTAGTATTGGTGAGTGACTAGGACTAATTCACGTCCTTTCGTTGCACTATGTTTCCTTTATTTTAGGTGAAACTTTTATTGTTCGTTTGATCGACTTGATCATGAAAAGCGGCATAACCAACTGTACTGTGTGGAATTTGTATGGTCCAGCTGAAACAACAATAGTTTCTACCTTCCACAGAGTGGATCTAATAGAAGATACACGAAGCGTTTCAATTGGTAGACCACTTTCTAATTACCGATCTATGATTTTGAATGAATATCTACAATCATCTGTTACCGACGACGAAGGCCAGTTGTTTATAGGTGGAGTAGGTGTCTTTGCTGCTTATCTTGGACATGATGATTTAACTGCAAAAGCTCTTGTTGAAATAGATGGTCAACTATTTTATCGAACAGGTGATCTTGCTAGAATGGATAAGAACGGTCTTCTGCATTATCAAGGAAGAAAAGATCATCAGATCAAATTACATGGACAACGAATTGAACTTGGTGAAATCGAACGATGTTTACTTAACACATCTATATCTGCTTGTGTTGTCATGAAATGGAATGATGATTATTTAGTTGCTTATGTTCAATCTTCTTCTCATATGAATGAAGAACAACTACGGCAACATTGTCAATCTCATCTTCCACCACATATGATACCATCAATATTTATTATACTTGACAAACTACCTTTGAATCAAAATGGAAAAATAGATCGAAAACTTCTACCACCACCTGAGTTTTCATCGTCAACTGACAATCGTGATGATAATCTGCCGCGCAATACCTTAGAAAAACAGTTACAAGTTATATTTAGCGAAGCTTTTCATATTGAATCCCCTCATGTTGAAGTTCCTTTTGGTCGACTTGGTGGAACGTCATTAAGTGCTATTCTTGCGCTTACATTAATTCGTCAACAGGTATGCAACAAGGTTGACATTGGTCTTTTATTTACTAATCCATCTATTCGGCAATTGGCTCAAGCAATAGAACCTTTATTAGTTTTCAATGAATCACAAGAGACAGTTTCCACGGACAGTGAAACTCATGAAACAGATGTGCGTTTTGTACCGTCATTTGTTATTGAATCTTTAGGTATTGTACTTCTTGTTTGTCAATGGTTGTGTCCTATCATGATAATTCATCAATGGTGTCCGTTATTTCTCCCTATCTTACCAATATGTCATCTTCTATTCTATGTCATATGCTCACATCTACTATCATCGGGAAATATTAGAGAAGATGATGTATTCTCTTGGAACTATTATCGTTGGTGGTTTTTAGATCGACTTTGGAATAACAATACATTTTGGCTGCAGCATATAATTGGTACACCTTTGTACAATCGGTATCTTCGTCTTTGTGGTGCTCGGATTAGCCTCGACGCACATATTTATACCATAGTTATCGATGCTCCATGGTTGTTAGATATTGGTGATGGCACTTGGATTGCTGACCATGCGATTCTGAACTCTTTATATTTCAATGATAATAATACTTTTGCGCTACATTCAATTAGAATTGGTTGTCATTGTTCAATCAGTGCCCGATCAATTCTGTTTGGTGGAGTCGATATGCAAGACAATGTTATGGTTCAACCCTTAACATCAGCTACTGGTTTCATCGCATCTGAAACGATTATCGATGGTGAAGAACATAAATCGGTTCCATCAGACATTTCAATCACACATAGTAACCGATCATTATCAATATGGCACAAGATCTATCAAGTTATTGTGCTCATCTTATTGATCTGTATTCACTGTACACTTTTAGCCATTGTCTACAAAGTTTGTTCAGTTGACCAAATACCACTACCGATTAGTATTGCTTTTTGCTGGACTTTGTGGTCAATTAGTGCTTGCTTTATCACTCTCGTTCTCTTAAAATTCGTAGTCGGTTCTTGTAGAGCTGGTGAGACATATCCAACTGCATCGTGGTCATATTTACATAAGGTGTGGCTTCGCCAATTAATTGTATCTAGTTTTCGTCGTGCCTGGTTACTATCAAATAGATACGATGAGCGTTATCCGTTTATTCTCCGTTGGTTAGGTGCTCAAGTTGGAGATAATGTCAAAATCGCTGATATAGACATCTTCTTGTCCTATCCAGCAAATCTATTGAAACTTGAAACAGGTGTTACTGCTTTTGGTTACTTATTAATAGTTCCTACGGAAATGACACTTTCGGGTGATCATCGTGTAGACTGGCTAACACTCGGATCTCATACAAACCTTGCGAATGGATGTACAATTTTGCCGGGTAGTCATCTTGCATCTGATACTATGGTTGGCAATTTAACACGTATCACTCGGGAAACGAATAGCAACAATGGAGATGTTTTTATTGGTGTTCCAGCTCGTGCTATGCCATTTAAAATGCCCGCTACACAAGCAATGGAAGATCCAATTAAAACTATTCCATTTTGGAAGACGTGTTTTTCTTATTGTATTAGCAGATATCTTTTCATAAGCATCTATTTGTTAGGTGGTCTTACTGTTGGACCATTCATTCATACAATAGTTATTTGCAGTCTCTCTCGATGGTTTTCATCTACAGACAATGAAATAATCAACAAGATAAAAGCAACACTAGCGAAAGATTACCAAGTTTTTATTTGTTCATTTCTTGGCTATACACAATGGTTAATTCGATTATTTCGAGTATTTGGTGCAAACATCGGGAACAATGTGATTTTACCTGACATTTCTTCTATTTTTGACTACAATTTAGTGACTATTGGAGATCAGGTTCGACTTAATACTGGTGCTCATATTGTGGTAATATATTCATTTCTTGTTATTTTTCATTTAAACATTATTACTCTTTACAATCATTTCAGTGTCACACTTTCGAACAGCGTATTCTGAAACTAATTCCTGTTACAGTAGGCAACTCTTGCGTTCTTATGAGTGGATCAATTGTAATGCCAGGTTGTAAATTAATGGGTAACAATCGGCTGTATCCGTTTACACTCGTAATGAAAAATGATTTGCTGCGACCGAACACACAATGGAAAGGACTTCCTGCACGTAAGCTATTTAAATAAATGAAGCTATGCATATTTGTACTTTGTAATACTGTTAAGATGCTAAGTAATATTGTTCAAATTTCATTTTGTTGATGATGATTCTTGGATATTTCTTTTTGCATTATTGAGAACATGACTTTCTTGAACTCTTTATCTATTATATATACTCGAAATCCCTTATAATGATATATACTCATTTGACTTTGATATGATTTGTTCTGCGTCTCAGAATGAAAAGAAGACGAATTATTTTAATATCGAAAAAGTCTTTGAAAAAATTTTTTTCTCATTGACTTTTCCACTAATCATTACATATGTTATATTTGACATATTGAATACACTTTTATCATCTTTCGCTAGTTGTTACTAACACACATCAAGTTCAAATGTATCTTTCCGTTAGGTTCGACTCTAAGCTATTTATTCAAATCTCATCCTGTAAGATAAACCAGTTAGAGAGTGGTATTTCATATCCATGAATAAAATTTTATCCGATTTGTTGGTAACATGAAATCGGTTAATAATGTATATTTTCTTTTTTATGTTTTCTAGAAAATTTACTAAATTATTCCGATATTCTCATTATACTAACTTTCATTTCGAATATTCTATACGTGATACACTTTGGACACGATGAAAATCAGGATCTACGTATCAAACAATCTGATATGATTGTATATTTACCGTATTTTTCTAGAATTGAAAAATAATATCGTACATTTTCTTGTCTCTGCATCTTTTTCTTTGATTCTTTGAAAGTCATATCATTCAAAGTTAAACTGTTCTTTTGATGATCATCCCATATGATACATATATGCATCATTTTATTGTATTGAATTTCTTTCTTTTAGAATCTTATGTAGCAAAATCAATAGTATCTCGATCTGTACCCATTTATGATGATGAGGTCAAATATCAACAGAAATCTAACAACTTTGATGGACTGTCTTTGTGGTATGAACAAATTTCTAATGTCTATACGGATGTCAATGAACTACAATTCATGAATTGGGGTTATGCAGATTTGGATGAGCATCTTGATGACAATACTGGTTACTATTCGAAGAAACTTTATCAACAAGTAAGTGAAGATGAATGAAAGAGTCAAATACATTTGAGTTGAAATATTTCTGATATAGTATCATAGATTAACTTTTGATGTCTGAATTAATTAATACGAATCTTACTCAAATCATAGATTTTTTTTAAACTAAAAAATAAAGACCACAATAAAGAGAAACAAATCTGTTAATTGCTTTCATGAGTATTTTCGTATTGACAGTTTCAACTTCTATTTGACTGATCATGATAATGTCTTATAACATATTTTACAAGAAGTGAAGCAAGACAAATTTCATACACGAGAAAATAATGTGTTTATTGCAATCTTTTGGAATATTATTATATCGGTGATGTGGGATATAATGACATTCTGTTTGAGTATTTCTAATAGAAATCTCTGAAAAGCACAAAATGTGAAACAAGATTTTCTTTATAATAGAGATAATCTTGTGGTAATCTTTAATAAGACTTCTGATGAGAAGAAGTTACTTCATCATAAGTATTCGACCAGTGATGGATAATTAATCAAAATATCAGTTGTGACAATATTAACGTAATAGTTAATTTTTTTCAAAAATATATTAGAAAAGGTGTAGAACGACTAGTTCCGTCTTAGTCTATTTCCATATTTCTGGAAAAAAAAGTGAGCAGTGAATGAAAGAGAGAATATCAAATGCCTTAGCAATCATTATTAGAATATTTTATTTTTCATTCTAGGTTCTTTCTAATGTAACACTTATAGATCAAAATATACTGGAAGTGGGTTGTGGTAAAGGTGCTGGTGCTGCTTGGTGTGTTCGTACATATGCTCCTCGATCTTATGTTGGAATAGATCCTTTTCGAGACGTCATTAACCTATGTGAACAATATTATTCAACAATTCCTCGACTCTCGTTTACGATAGCTGATCCAAAAACTCATTTATCATTTCAAAATGAGTCAATGGATGTTGTTCTTTCGATCGAAACAACAAACATTTTTGATGAACTAGTTGCAGTGAAGGAATTCATCAATGAAGTTACTCGTGTGCTTACTCCTAATGGATACTTTCTCTGGTGTGGCTTGTGTAATGTAGATGGATCAAGTGTATTGATTGATTATTTAGAAGCAAACAATGCATTTATTATTCAAGAGAAGGCCAATATTACAGGAAATGTTCTTCATGCACTTGATATTCAAAGTAACTCACGTGCTGACTTTGTTGACCGCTATATTCAATCTACAGATCGAGAATATTGCCGTCTATTGGCTGGATTACCTGGCACTCAACTTTATGATAATATGCAACAAGGACGAGCAGAATATTGGCGAGTTGTATTCCGCAAGAAATAAAAACAAATACGCCTCTTATTTAACACTAACATTTTTTCTTTTTTAAACTAACCCGAATATTTTTGCTTGCTAGGTAGCGGTATTTTACTCTAACTTATTCCAGTACTTTATTCTCTTTTTTATAATAAATAAACAGAAAATAATTACTGTGGAATATTTTGCGAGGATCTTGATATGAGATCAATATATATATAAATATGCCTCATATCCTCATAGTTCAAATAAGTATTTTCATTTAGATCACGATTCGCTCTAAAAGAACGAACTATTGTAGAAAAACAAAGATAATTCGTCGTCATAGTCAGGGTGTGGGTGTGGGTGGGCGAGGATATAGGGTGACTCTTGAGGTTGGGTGTGAATGTAGTATTCATATCATTTTTTACTTTAAATCTTGTCTGAACACCACATATATTAGAATTGTTGCAGACAACAATAATTTCAAAAAGAAAATATTCTTTAAGATACAGCTGCGCATTTACTTGAATTCGTTATTTTCATTCTGCACATTGACTATTAGAATATATAATATGCTACGACATGTTTTCAAAAGACTTATTTCTTTCGTAAAATTCAACTTTCATACAATACAATAAAAAACGGATGAAATTTATTCATAAGTAAATAGAATACAATAAAAGACAGTTTAATGAGTAGCATCAGCTTTACTTCGTTCAATTGCTTCTTTGACTGCTTGTTCCAGAGAAACAGTTTTTACACCTAAAGCATCATTACTTGTTTTGCCTCGAAAATCACTTGCACCTTGTTGACAGTATATCGCACTCATAATATATGCTTGAACACCTTTCATTATATCACCTTTTGCAAAATAGTCTGCACCTTGTTTTAATGAATCATCAGTACTTATACGTTTCACTGTCCATTTTTTACCAGAATATTTTTCAAAAAGAGCTAAAGCTTGTTGTTGCGTAAATACTGCATCAGCAATATAAATGCGTTTATTTAAAGTTAATTCTGGATGGTGAATAATAGCGACAACAGCTTTACCAATTGATGGAAGAGTTGTACCCGAAACGTAATTTTTACCTTCATCATAAAGATTCACTGTATGATTGGAAATATCAAAGCCAAGAAAGCCATTATCAAAACCCCAATCAAGAAAACCACCAGTACTAATTAATGTGTGTGCTATACGTGATTGATGTTTTTTTAGTAATTCAATTGTTTCAAGTTTGTCACCTATGAAAGGAAGCGATGAAAAACGTGGATGATGTGTATCAGCAGTAAATTCTGATGGAATATACCATTTAACACCAGCTTCGACAGATGCTTCAATCAATGTTAGATCTAATTTATCAGAAAGAGCGGTATTACCGGCGGCAGAAACTACGACATCCTGACCAGTTAGCGCTTGTTTAAGTCCATTTTTGTCTTTATAATCGACTTTAACTACTTTTGCATTCGATGGAAATGTAGACTTGGAGTCAATTCGAGTAAGAACTGTAACATTAAAGGATGAATCAGCAAGTAGAGCAGTGAGAATATGTTTGCCCAGTTCACCTGCACCACCAACGAGAATAACATTTTTGTATGTAGTAGACGACATTGTTACTTTGTTAAGAAAGAATACGTATGAATATATAAGCTATCGTCTGCACGTGCACGTATATATAAACGTTTCTTACCCTAACATAACGATGACGATGCATTTCTGTTCTCTTTCTGCTGATGTCATACTTTCAATGCATTTTTACCATATATATTCTATTCTGCCTGTCATATGAACATGATCATAGATGACAGTGCGTATTTTATGGATATATAGTTAACTTAGTTAATTTTTACATTGAATTCATTAATCTATAATTTTTTATATGTATTTGATTTCATATTTATTTTAAAGCTCTTAAAAATAACAACAAAATTATTATTTAGTAAATTAATGAATCGTTTGTTACTTGGCAGATGACGAAACTATTTTAATAGAGGTTACTTTCGTATGATATCCATTTCTGCAATACAAATATAAACTAATATTGTGAACCTATTCTAAAATTTACTTATAACAGAGAAACATAATTTTTCTTTGTCTAAAGTATTCCAATTCATTACTCATCTATTGATAATATGTTATTATTTTTCTAAAAATCGACATAACCATCATATTAGCCTACGTATAAAGAACATTTAAGATACGATA